CATGTTGGCCAGGATGGTCTTGATCTCCTGACCTCATGATCCACCCACCTCGGCCTCCCAAAGTGCTGGGATTACAGGTGTGAGCCACTGCACCCAGCCACTTATGTGATATTTATTCTTTATCCTGGAATACAGATCTAAGTTTTCTAAAGTATGAGTAAAAGGACCTACTTTCAGCTATTAAAACAGAATACTAGAAATGAATGTGTTCGTTCATTGGTGCAATAGACTCAAGAAATCATTTTCTACTAGACCTCAGCTTGTAACACTCCAATTGAAAAATCAAAAGTAGTACGTGCCATTTCACAGTCAAGTCCAAAGAGAGGACTATTGTCTGCTATAGAACCATTACATTTGGTAAGTAAAAAGTTTTCACACTCAGGAAAACCTAGGAAAAAAGGAAGAAAATATTTGCCTTTAGAATAGAGATGGTAAACATCACTCTTAGATACAAGCAGGTAAAACTAAAATACTAGATACTTTAGTCAGATATGTCGGTATGTTAGACACTTGAAATACAAAGACTAAATAAGATACAATCTCTGTCCTCAAGTTTTTCACCATCTACTCATTTTTATATTGAAAGAATAACTTAGGCTTGCTGTTAGGAGGAGATTCTGGGGCTTGAACTTCCTGGCAGTTGCCAAGTAACAATTTTTCCTCCTCAGGAGAAAACAGATAACTAAATCATGGCTAAACTCAAAGTCATTAGGCCCTTTCCATGTCAGCGCTAAGAAAGAATGAATAAAGTATGCAAATAACTGTATGTGAAATCTTTCTTTCCTAAATACAGGAAGAGAAAATAGGAATGAGATTCCATCATAATAGAGATCTAAAAGGATTTCACAGCAGGAAGCAAGTTTAAGTAACATTCACCATACATGTCCCTCCACCCAACTCAACCCTCAAGATTCCTCTGAAACATCTATTCAGAGCCTTGCCTGCATTTTCTGGAATCACATGTTTCCTACAGAGGCTCAGCTACAGACTTAAGGTATTCCCTCTATTTGTGTACCCTGAGTCAATAACCATGCATATTTAGCTCAGAGACCCAAAAGCATCTGAATTGTTGAAGACTTCTACCTTCAGGCAGAGGCTAGAGCAGTAAAGGTAACATCTAAATCTTGTTTGACAAGGAACAAACGGGGCTAGGCAAACCTTTGACCGATTTCTGATTCCCAGTACTGTGACATTTCCAACTAATCGCAATTAAAAGAATCAAAATATGGTCTATCCCAGAGAAGAAAGGCAGCCCCAAATCTCAGAGACACTATACTTGCGGCCTATCTTATCTATATTTTCAGTGGTGTTTTATAGGTGTCAGCAGTACTGCCCTTACTACGTGCTCATGTGACAGTAGTGCAACCTCAAGAAAAAGATGGTTATAAATATGTTAAAATAAATAGAGAAAAAGCCATCTATAAAATGGAGTTAAAATTTAGTTCATATATCATAGGATTGCCAGTTAATATACAAAAAAGCACTTAGTATGGTGCCTGGGACCTATAAAACACATCCACATCAACTTAAAAAAATAAATTAAAAAAATAAAATTTATGCATCCAGAATATAAGAACTCCAATAATTCCATGATAAAATACAGCCCAATTTAAAAATGGACAAAGGATCCGAATAGACATTTCTCTGAAGCTATACAAATAACTAATAAGCACGTGAAAAGTTGCTCAAAATCATCAGCCAACAGACACATGCAAATCAAAATCACAATGAGACACCACTTCATAGCCACTAGGATGGATATATTCAAACAAGATAATAACAAATGTTGGCAAGAATGTGCAGGAACTGGAAACCTCGTATGTTGCTGGTGGGAACGTAAAATGGTATGGCTGCTGCTTTCACAGACTGACAGTGCCTCAAAAGGTTAAACACAGAGTTATCACGTGACCCAGCAATTATACTCCTAGGTATATACCCAACAGAAATGAAAGCATGTGTCCACACAAAAAACTTGTACTTGAATGTTCATAGCAGCATTATTCATAATAACTAAAAAGTGGAAACAACTCAAATGTCCATCACCCAATGAGCAGTCTATCCAATGGCAGTATCATTAAGCAGTGAAAATAAATGTAGTACTGATACATGCTACAATATGGATGAACCTTGAGAACATTATGCAAGTTAAAGAAGCCAGTCACGAAGACCACATATTGCACATCCACTTACAGGAAATATCCAGAATGGGTAAATCTATATATAGAAAACAGATTAACGGTTGTCAAAGGCTCAGGAGTTGGAGGGAAATTATACTATAGGGTTTCTTTTGGGATGATAGAAGTGTTCTAAAATTGTGGTGATGGCTGTACAACTCTATGAAGATAGTAAAAAATACTTAAATACTTAATTGTAACTTTAAGTGGGTAAAATGTGTGGTATGTTAAATTATATCTCAGTTAAAAAAAAGGAAATTTAATTATCATTGCTATAATTAGGAGGCAACAAAGAAAATAAAATGAAATCAAAGTACTTTTATTAAATTCTTGCTATATAATTGACCAAGGCTCTGAGCCTAGACCTGCTCTATTTGTTAAAGAAATGTGGGGGCAGTGTGGGAGGAGAATTAGAAGTATTGGAAAAGTGTTAAAATATTAAAGACATACTAACTGTTTTTAATATAAAGAAATGAAAGAAAACTGAATGAAAAAGAAAGGGAATAACTTTCTCATTAAATATTATTTCAATGCTCTTCAATGTCACATTCATGTACTACCTAAAATCATCACTTTGCCAATCACAATATACATCATACACTTTGGGATACACTGTGCTTAAGATATTTCCTCATTAATAGAAGATGAAATAAGAATAAGCCATTCAGAAAACAGCCAGATAAATCAATCTCCAACAGTAGTATTTAAATAAGCTGTTAGATATTTTTACATTGTTGGCAATATCAGATTAGGCCTAAGCCAACCTTGTAATGGAAAGTGAAACGTTCTCATTTCCTCCTTTGTCAGAAGGCATCTGGTCAAGCCCACTTTCTTAGAGCCATACTTTTGAATGATGGGGTCATTCTGAAGGTTGATGGTGGCTTTTGCATTAGAAGGTAAAGGCCCTAAAAGAAAAACAATTGAAAGTATATTAGAATGTGTATTTAAGAACCCTAGAAGACATGTCTCCTGAGGTTGCATAGGCTAAGCACAGGGAAGATCAAAAGATGTATAAAACTCAGCCCCAACCATTTAGGGGCTTGCAACCTATTACAATTATAGGAACACAGAGAGGCAGGGCATGGTGGCTCATGCCTGTAATCCCAGCACTTTGGGAGGCGGAGGCAGGTAGATTACGAGGTCAGGAGATCGAGACCATCCTGGTTAACATGGTGAAACCCTGTCTCTACTAAAAATACAAAAACAAAATTAGCCAGGCATGGTGGTGGGCGTCGGTAGTCCCAGCTACTTGGGAGGCTGAGGTGGGAGAATGGCGTGAACCCAAGAGGCAGAACTTGCAGTGAGCCAAGATCGCGCCACTGCACTCCAGCCTGGGTGACACAGCAAGACTCTGTCTCAAAACAAAACAAAACAAAACAAAAAAACACTGAGAAAATGAAGTCCCAAATGAGCTAAAACAATAAAGGGATAGGAGGAAGAATATACTTTACATTGGAATGTCAGAGATCAAGAAAGGAAAAGATTAACTGAGTCTTAAAAAAACACAGAATTCAGATAGTTGGTATATTCAACCTGTTCTTTTTTTTTTTTGAGACGGAGTCTCGCTCTGTCGCCCAGGCTGGAGTGCAGTGGCCAGAGATCTCAGCTCACTACAAGCTCCGCCTCCCGGGTTT